CTTTCCTAGTTGTCCCCAGTATTTCTTGGGTTGCAAAAGCCCAAAATTCGTTCTGCTGCTATTCGCCCTGTTTCAGGCTACTTGCTGATACATTCTTCTGATCCTTTACCTGACAAATCATTTAATGAAAGTGCACTTTTTGTATGCATTGATATACCATATCAACAAATTTTTATTCATTCCCCACTGCATTATACTGCAGCTCGTATTTATTTACACCGATGATTTACAGTTTGCTCTCTTTATCTTTCTCCCTCCCATGCATTCTGTATCTCTGATATTGCATTTTTAATTTCATCTCTACCACCGCCCATATTGTTGTTGGGTGATTTTAACGCTCACCATCACCTGCGGGGGAGGGTCCCACTGCAACTCTCATGGTGATCAGTTGGAGACTTCTCACATCTCATCCTCTTCATGTTTTAAACACAGGTGTTCCTACCCATTTTGACTCTTGTACTCGGTCTCTCTCATGCATTGATCTTTCTATCTGTTCCTTGCTCATTGCACTTGATTTCGAGTGGTCTTTTCTTCCAGATTTACACGATAGTGATCACTTTCCCATCCTTCTTACTTCTGCTACATATGCCCGACCTTTTTGTAGCCCTTGTTGGCAATTTGCTCGAGCAGATTGGGACTTAAACTCCCTCTTACCACCCGTTTTGAGGACCCCCTTTCATCCTCTATTGATGAACTGGCACACCACTTTCCAACCTTGGTCCTAACTGCAGTGATGTGTTCTATCCCCCAAACCTCAGGTAGGCATTCTCAGGCATGCATACCTTGGTGGTCTCTTACATGCGCCTGTGCAGTGTGTTTAAAATGTGCTGCGTGGGGCCATTATCGATATAATCGTACCGCGGAGTGTCTGTTGGATTTCAAGCGGGCAAGGGAAGTTGCTCACCTTGTCATCCACGACGCTGAGTGCACTTGTTGGCGAGACTGCGAGTCTACTATTCACTCATTTTCCCCTATGTGCCCGATTTGGAAAAAGGTGCGGAAATTGTGTGGCAAGTACGTACACTCTGGACCCAGCTCCTGTTTTGCGGGTTGCTGGAGTTGATGTCGTGTAACCCTTTGAAGTTGACACAGCAATCGGGAACTATCTTGTCCGTATCTCCCAAGGGCTTCACCTCTGTCCCTCATTTCTTGCGTCTAAACCTACCAAAGAGCAGTTGCCCTTAGATTTCTCCTCCGATGGGTTGGAGCCGTATAACGTACCCTTTACTCTTCAAGAACTTGAGTCCACGCTTTTCATTTGCTGGCTGTTGGCACTGGGACCTGATGTTATCCACATCACTCTGCTTCAACATCTCCATTCTATGGCCCTTCCTGTTCTTTTACGTCCTTTCAATCTAATTTGGACATGAAGGGTTCTCCCTCAACACTGGAAATCGGCTATTGTACTACCATTTTGTAAACCAGGTGCCTCAGGACTTGACACCTCTCACTATTGTCCCATTGCCCTGACCAGTGTGGTCTGTAAGGTGATGGAACGATTGGTGAATAGATGTCTGATGTGGATCTTAGAGGCACATGATAACCTTTCCAATATGGCTTTCGCAAAAGCAGCTCTACTGTAGACCCCTTGTTCTACTTTTATATGTATATTCGCACTGCCTTTGCTAACAACCACTCTGTCCTAGCAGTATTTTTTGATTTAGAGAAGGCATATGACACCACTTGGAAGTATAACATCTTAGCCTAAGCCCACTCCTTAGGCCTCCACGGTAATCTACCAAACTTCATCACTGCTTTCTTGTCCAATAGACATTTTCAGGTCTGTATTGGCACCTCGCTTTCCTCAGACTTTGTACAAGCTAAGGGAGTTCCACAAGGTTGTGTCCTCAGTACTGTTCTTTTTCTCTTAGCTATAAATGACCTCCCTTCCGTTCTTCCTTTGCATATTTGGTCGTCACTTTACGTTGATGACTTCACTATAGCTTACTCGGGCGCTGACTGTCGATTAGTAGCAGCCTCTCTTCAGGTTGTGATAGACCGAGTCTCCCATTAGACCACTTCTCACGGCTTTAAATTTTCTAGTACAAAAACCCAGTTCCTTACCTTCTCTAGACGTCCTCTTATTCTGGATACTCCCTTATACTTACATGGTTCATGTATTCTGACTTGTGATACAGTCAAGTTTCTGGGCCTGCTCTTTGATCACCAGCCGACATGGAGACCACACATTTCTTTAAAGACAACTTGCCATGGTCGGCTATGTCTCCTCAGAGTTCTCGCTCATCGTTCATGGGTAGCAGATCATCGCACTCTACTCCATTTGCATTCCACCCTAGTCTTGTCCAAGCTGGATTATGGTGACCAAATCTATTCTACAGCCTCTTCCACAACTCTGTCTAAGTTAGATCCCATTCATTGCCTTGGTGCCTTTCGTTCATCCCCTTTTGAGAGCCTCTATGCAGAAGCGAATATTCCATCCTTGTCTGATCGCCATGATGCTCATTGCCTTTACGAATATGTTCGATCTCATGACCTTCACAATCCTTCCGTATATAGGATGGTCACTGATGTTAGTAGACGTTCTTTATTTGTTTGTCGCCCCTGCTTACTCTGCCCCTTTTCTCTTCGCCTCCATTTGCTCTTGTCTTCTCTTTAGTTACCACCTTTCTATGTTCATGTAGCATCGTACTTTTCCCTGCCCCCTTGGGAGGTGCCAGCTTTTCGAGTCTGTTCTTTCCCACTGCCATATACGTGAAAGCCCAACTCCCTATGGAGGCTTCCCTCTCTCTTTTCCTTGACCACTTCTGCTCTCATTCTTATGCCATCGCAGTGCACACCGATGGTTCTAAGTCTTCTGGTGGTGTCAGATTCACAGCAGTGTTTCCGGACAGTGTTGTGCGAGGACATTTATTATCCTCGGCTAGCATTTTTATGGCTGAATTATATGCCATTCTTGTAGCACTTATGCCTGTGTCACCATTTGTGGTCGTTTCAGACTCCCTTAGTGCTTTACAGGCTATACGAAAATTTGATACACCTCACCCCGTAGTTCTTCATATCCAACTTTGACTATGCCGTATCTCTAGCAAACACAAAGATATTGTTTTTTGCTGGGTCCCTGGTCATGTTGGCATACAGGGCAATGAACAGGCATACACTGCTGTGCGGTCAGCAGTACATGTACATGACCTCCCAGTTTCATATAGAGGTGTTCCATTCACAGACTATTTCGCTGAAATTGCTGCCCACCTTCGCACCAGTTGGCAACAACGTTGGTCTGATCTGCTCCATAACAAACTTCATTCTATTAAATCGAGTATAGGTTTCCGGTCATCTTCTTGTCATCAGTGTCGGGGTTGGGAGATTTCTCTCTCCCATCTTCGCATTGGCCACACTCGTCTTGCTCACAGGTATCTCATGGAGAGGCGCCCTGTTTCCTCTGTGAGAATTGTCACGTTCCAGTATCTGTTAGCCACATTCTGTTGGATTGTCCACTATCATCGAGCACGCAGAATTTACCTCCAACGTCGTCTCCTCTCTGCTGCCCTTTCTTTACCTTCCCTTCTTTGTTGATGAACCCTTCTTTAATCCAGACTCTCTCATTGACTTTTGACAGCGACTGATTTACTACACAAACTCTGATGATTCCTCTAGCACTCTCCTCTGTCCTTTCTACCTTAATCTCTTGCTACCCTTTACCCCTGCACTATCCACTGCCCTGCTTCACTCCATACCCTAATAATCATCCCTCTCCCTCTTGCCACCCATTTCTCCTGCATCCTTCCCTGCCCTGCTGCTCTGTGTAACCCTTGTGGTTTAGCGCTCCTTTTGATTATAATAATAATCATCTTCAATATCACTTATATCATTGTGAATGACCATAAGTCAAACTTATCCCCACTGTCATCATTGGTGCCCAAACTATGGAAGAATGTTAGTTTACATTTATGTTGTGTTGTGAGATCCCTCTGAGGCCAGTGGTAGAGGATTGCAGATCATCAGGGTTTTCAGCACTATTCTTAGCATTTTCCCTGTTACTTTCAGTCAACTTCATCTGAGATCCATAGAGCTCTATTCTAGAATCACTATCTTCACTATCAGAATTGTCTTCTGTGAACAATAAAACGTAAATCTGCTTGGGAGTAAGAGTATTTGATCTATGTACCATGGTAGGCCAGCATACTATTCCCATGATGCACTGTGGGAGTCAGGATTTTTTGTATACTAAACACACCCACCTCACAGACCCATTTTCTTAAGTCTAGGCCTGCCAGGCCTCTTGTGCTAAATTTGAAGGCTCTGTGATTTGTATAGATCTACAGCACGAACACTGATCCCAGTCATGTAGATCTTCAAGGCCAAAAATTTAAGAGTTAAAGAACAAGAAACCACGAAAGGAGAATGTGTAAAACAAAAGCCCCTGAATCAGAAACATGTACAATAAAATGCTGTATACATGTGCAGTATACTGTAATACTGTAATATATACATGTGTAACTATATAGTATGTTATTTTTATATATTACTTTGTGATGACTGGAAGTTCATACAGTAATCTTGGGGATTTATATTTTTTTTTTATTGGAAATTTAAACTTTTTTCGTATAAACCCAGTATAAAATTATAATGAATTTTTTAAAGTGATAAACAGAAGAATGGTTGGGGACTAACTGTAGTTCATGTGGGTAGCAGGCCCAGTGCTGTACCATTCAGCTATGAACTTCTAATAAAATTATTTGTAACCAGCACTTTTGTGGCATGGTTGCATCATCTGTCACCAACTGTGATGCTACTGGCTTATCCTTGCCCCCAAGCTTTCAAGGGACATCTGTTCTCATACCCCTCAAAGCCATATAGTCTATAAATGCAAGATAAGTTGTAATGAACAACTGTCAGTGGCTTAATGGTAAAGTGCTGGGCCTGTTACTTTCATGACCCACTGCTTGAGTCCCTCCCTTTTTTCTTTCCCTTTAAAGGTACTGTGCGATTTACTGTGAAAGCAGTCAGACAATGTCTAACTTTTTGTTTTTTTGTGGCAGGTCTTTATTTGCGTGGACTAAACCTGTCATTTCGACGGCTGAGTTTTTCTCAGGTAACTTTGCTCTACCAGAGGTTCAGAAACTACTATGAGGAATGTTGCACCTCACAACAGTCACTTAAAACAACACACAGATATTCAGGTAACATGAAAATTATTTCTATTATACAAATCCATTACTAACATTGTAAGAGAATAACAAAAGCACAGTAAGATTGGTAAGGTGTATCTCAAATCAGTCAGTCATATGTTGTTTCCACAATAAAAATATAGTGTATTGACAATGACAATGTTTATTTCCTTGTAAAGCTTACAATGTGTGGTTTACATATTATAAAGTATACTAATTACAAAGAAGGCCATTAGCATGCCTAGGCATTTTGGGCGGATTAATACTAATTTTTTTATTTTTTTATTATCACACCGGCCGATTCCCACCAAGGCAGGGTGGCCCGAAAAAGAAAAACTTTCACCATCATTCACTCCATCACTGTCTTGCCAGAAGGGTGCTTTACACTACAGTTTTTAAACTGCAACATTAACACCCCTCCTTCAGAGTGCAGGCACTGTACTTCCCATCTCCAGGACTCAAGTCCGGCCTGCCGGTTTCCCTGAATCCCTTCATAAATGTTACTTTGCTCACACTCCAACAGCACGTCAAGTATTAAAAACCATTTGTCTCCATTCACTCCTATCAAAAAACGCTCACGAAATCCCCTGCGGGAAGTCCAAGCCCCTCGCACACAAAACCTCCTTTACCACCCCTCCCTCCAACCCCTTTCTAAGGCCGACCCCTACCCCGCCTTCCTTCCACTACAGACGATACACTCTTGAAGTCATTCTGTTTCGCTCCATTCTCTCTACATGTCCAACCCCACCTCACAACCCTTCCTCAGCCCTCTGAACAACATTTTTGGTAATCCCCACCTCCTCCTAACTTCCAAACTACCGAATTCTCTGCATTATATTCACACCAAAACATTGCCCTCAGACATGACATCTCCACTGCCTCCAGCCTTCTCCTCGCTGCAACATTCATCACCCACGCTTCAACACCCATATAAGAGCGTTGGGTAAAACTATACTCTCATACATTCCCCTCTTTGCCCCCAAAGGGACAAAGTTCTTTGTTTCCACAGACTCCTAAGTGCAAACCACTCACTCTTTTTTCCCTCATCAATTCTATGATTCACCTCATCTTTCATAGACCCATCCGCTGACACGTCCACTCCCAAATATCTGAATACGTTCACCTCCTCCATACTCTCCTCCCTCCAATCTGATATTCAATTTTTTCATCACCTATTTTTGTTATCCTCATAACCTTACTCTTTCCTGTATTCCCCTTTTAATTTTCTTCTTTTGCACACCCTACCAAATTCATCCACCAAACCTCGCAATTTCCCTCTTCAAATCTCCCAAGAGCACAGTGTCATCAGCAAAGAGCAGCTGTGACAACTCCCACTTTGTGTGTGATTCTTTATTTTTAACTCCACGCCTCTTGCCAAAACCCTCGCATTTACTTCTCTTACAACCCATCTATAAATATATTAAACAACCACGGTGACATCACACATCCTTGTCTAAGGCCTATTTTTACTGGGAAAAATTTCCCTCTTTCCTACATACTCTAACTTGAGCCTCACTATCCTCGTAAAAACTCTTCACTGCTTTCAGTAACCTACCTCCTACAACCATACACTTGCAACATCTGCCACATTGCCCCCCTATCCACCCTGTCAAAACGCCTTTTTCCCAAAACCATAAATACCACAAAGACCTCTTTAGCCTTATCTAAATACTGTTCACTTATATGTTTCAAATGTAAACACCTGTCCACACACCCCCTACCTTTCCTAAAGCCTCCTTGTTCATCTGCTATCCTATTCTCCCCTCTTACTCTTAATTCTTTCAATTATAACTCTACCATACACTTACCAGGTACACTCAACAGACTTATCCCCCTATAAAATTTTTCACTCTCTTTATCCCCTTTGCCTTTATACAAAGGGAACTATGCATGCTCTCTGCCAATCCCTAGGTACCTTACCCTCTTCCATACATTTATTAAATAATTGCACCAACCACTCCAAAAATAGATCCCCACCGGCTTTTAACATTTCTATCTTTTTATCCCATCAATCCCGGCTGCCTACCCCCTTTCATTTACCTACTGCCTCACGAACTTCCCCCACACTCACAACTGGCTCTTCCTCACTCCTAAAGAATTGTAATACCTCCTTGCCCATACACGAAATCACAGCTTCCCTACCTTCATCAACATTTAAAACATTCCTCAAAATATTCCTTCCCATCTTCCCAATACCTCTAACTCTCCATTTAATAACTCTCCTCGCCATTTGTAACTGACAAAATCCATTTTCTCTAGGCTTCTAACTTGTTAATCTCCACTCCAAAACTTTTTCTTTTTAACAAAATTTGTTTGATAACATCTCACCCACTCCTCATCATTTGCTCTCTTTTTACACATTGCTTCCACCACTCTCTTAACTTCTCTCTTTTTCGTCCTCCTATACTCTTCCCTCCTTGCATCACTTCTACTTTAGTAAAAACTTCTCATAATGCTAACTTTTTCTCCCTTACTACTCTCCTTTACATCATCATTTCCAACATCGCGTCCTCTTCCCCATCCTGCACCCACTTTCCTGGTAACCACAAACTTCTGCTGAACACTCCAAACACTACATTTTTTAAAACCTACCCCAAAACCTCATCGACCCCATTGCCTATGCTCTCATTAGCGCCCATCAATCCTCCAATAGCTGTTTCTACTTACCCTAACTGCCTCCTCTTTTAGTTTATAAACCTTCACCTCTCTCTTCCCTGATTGCTATCTCCCTTGTATCCCATCACCTTTTACTCTCATTATAGCTATAACTAGAAATGAGCTGATATATCTTGGCCCTCGCGAAACTGTACATCCTAAGTCTACTCACAAGTCCCCTTTTATCTACCAATACATAAACCAACAAAACTCTGTCATTTTCGCCCTACAATTCATAATCGTGGTTTACTTTTTATCCTCTTTTCTTAAAATTGTATTACCTATAACTAAACCCCTTTTCTATACAAAGTGCCATCAAAGGGCTCCCATTATCATTTACACCTGGCACCGAACCCCCCAAAACTTACCTACCACACAACCCCTCTAAAAGTTTCTCCCTACTTTAGCATTCCCAAGTCCCCTAACACATACTCTCTCACTTGGATCAAAGGCTCCTATACATTCCCACGTAACATCTCCCAAAATCTCGCGCAGTCCTCTGGCTGCATTCCTCTCTTCTCCGGGCATCCAACGCTGGAGTATTGTGTGAGTGTGTGGTCGCCCACCTTGCTACAGTTGACTGACATCCAACCTTACTTTAATCCACATAAATCTGAATTTACACATTCATATTCTCATTTCTCCTTCCATAACTGATCATTTAACATACTCTACCCCTTCCTTTGCTCAACTCTCTCAGGATACTCCAGATTTAAATCCCATTTATTTCCTTCCCCCCACTGAAAACCCTCCTACCCCCTTCAGCTTTTTGTTTCGCTTAGGGCCAGACACCAACTTCTTTTCATTCATAACATCAGCCCTTCATCTGTTATCTTGTCATCCGCCACACCATCACGCACATTTTAAGCAACCCAGTATTTATAAAGTTTTTCTTCTTCTCTTTTTTAGTAATTGTATACAGGAAAGGGTTCTAGCCCAGTGCTCCCAGGCATTACAAATTCTACTCTATATTGATATATGTTATGAGCAGTACATGGAACATACATTATTAGATACACAACATAATTAAATACATAATTATAATTTTATATAGGTGTAAAACATATAACAATACCAAAAGTGTAATTTAGAATGGATTGATTTGCCTTGCATGACACACCTGTTTCTATTAGAAGCTCCTATATTGGAAGAAAAAAAAAAAAAAAAGTATCCCTTATGCAAGCTTAGTAGGACTACAATAAGATTTAAAAGGCACTAGATGTACAGATGCAGTTTATAATAATTCAGTCCACACACGCTTCCTAATGACATAACCCAAGCACATTGTTGCAAAGAAACTGTCTATCAGAAATAACAGAACCCACGTACAAGTCATCTGCAAACAATGAAAATCCAAAGAAACACATTTGCTAGGAAAACCAGGTAGTAACACAGTACAGTGACCCCCGGTTAACGATATTTTTTTCACTCCAGAAGTAATGTTCCGGTGCCAGAACTGACCGAAATTGTTCCCATAAGAAATATTATTGGAAGTAGATTAGTCCAAATCAGACCCCCAAAACATATCACGTACAAACGCACTTACATAATTGGTCGCATTCGGAGTAATCGTTATGCTGGCGGGTGTCCACGGTATAATGATCAGACTTCATTCATATATAAATAGAAAGGACCTAATTATATCAGCAATGACAATGAAAAATGGAGTGTTCCATAAATGAGTGTCTAACAAAAAAACGTCAAAACCTTCAGTTCAGGTTGAGGCAGAGACTTAAACGGAAAACAAAATACATCATGTTTCACTCGAGATGGAAAATACTAGTAAGGAAACATCAACAGACAACAATAAACCATCTCAAACAACATGATTCTCTACCTTCCTTAGAAAAGTTGACATTTCTGTAACAGATTAGATATGGCCCTTAATACATATATACGTGGGTGCAATATTAGAGGACCTTACTATTATATTGTGCATTAAATTTTTTGTATTTTTTCATCACTAGCTAATACCAACTACCCTCCAATACTTTATACATCTTTCTATACTGCTATAAATTCTCATAATTTTGTGATACAAGTCAAATCTTACTCCCTAATAATATATTAATTGTTCTTACCTGTCCATTTAATTTTGTTTACCACTAACTTGTTTGTTTTTTTAGTCACTTTTTAATGTGTGGTGCAATTAGTGAATATTCCAATTACTTTTTTTGCAAGTCCCAAAACTATCTTTTGCTAGCTAGTACCAACTAACCCTCAATTTTTTTTTTACTTTTATTGGTGCAAAACTGCTCACCTTATTTATTATTACAAATCAGATCTTACTCCTAAACCAATATTTATATAAGTGACTATCTGTCCCATATAAACTATGTACACCATTACTTAATTTA